TCTGGGACATTCACTCCATACAGCGGTTTCAACCGCTGTATGGAGGGAATGTCCCAGAACTGTCAGAAATAGTCTATTTCTGACAGTTCTGGGACATTCCCTCCATACAGCGGTTTCCGGCAAAAAGTGTATGTGCAGAGCTCCTCTATTCTGCAGATACACTTAGAGGAGCTCTGCAGATACACTTAGAGGAGCTCTGCACATACACTTTTTGCCGGCTTGGAATTATTCTTACTTTCATCCTACTTCTTCTTCTTCATCCTCATTCTCATCCTCCTCTTCTTCTTCTTCTGAGGATGAGGATGAAGAGAAGAAGAAGAAGTAGGATGAAAATAAGATTAATTCCAAGCCGGCAAAAAGTGTATGTGCAGAGCTCCTCTAAGTGTATGTGCAGAGCTCCTCTAAGTGTATCTGCAGAATAGAGGAACTCTGCACATACACTTTTTGCCGGCTTGGAATTATTCTTATTTTCATCCTACTTCTTCTTCATCCTCTTCCTCTTCTTCTTCTTCTGAGGATGAGGATGAAGAAGAAGAAGAAGTAGGATGAAAATAAGATTAATTCCAAGCCGGCAAAAAGTGTATGTGCAGAGCTCCTCTAAGTGTATCTGCAGAGCTCCTCTAAGTGTATCTGCAGAATAGAGAACTCTGCACATACACTTTTTGCCGGCTTGGAATTATTCTTATTTCCATCCTACCTTCTTCTTCTTCATCCTCATCCTCTTCTTCTTCTGAGGATGAGGATGAAGAAGAAGAAGAAGTAGGATGAAAATAAGATTAATTCCAAGCCGGCAAAAAGTGTATGTGCAGAGCTCCTCTAAGTGTATCTGCAGAGCTCCTCTAAGTGTATCTGCAGAATAGAGGAACTCTGCACATACACTTTTTTGGCCGGCTTGGAATTATTCTTATTTCATCCTACTCTTCTTCTTCATCCTCATCCTCTTCTTCTTCTGAGGATGAGGATGAAGAAGAAGAAGAAGTAGGATGAAAATAAGAATAATTCCAAGCCGGCAAAAAGTGTATGTGCAGAGTTCCTCTATTTCTGACAGTTCTCTGACAGCTTCTTCACATGTACAGCGGTTGAAACATCTGTATCCTAAATGGAAACTAATAGATACAATGTTTCAACCGCTAAACATGTGTTCCTTCTGTCAGAGAACTGTCAGAAATAGCGGAGCTCACTGCAGGGACACTTTTGCCGGCTGATCGGGAAATATTCGATTCGCGCACCCGAAGTAGGCAAAATTTCGGATTCGACGCGAATCGAATATTTCCTGAAATTCGACTCGAATTCCGGTTCGCCTGGTTCGATTCGCTCATCTCTACTCTGAATGTTATTTACTCTTGACCCCTGCGCACTGTGTATTTTTTATTCCTGATCACTGCACTCTGAACTTACTCCTAACCTCTACACTCTGAATGTTATTTACTCTTGACCCCTGCGCACTGTGCATTTCTTATTCCTGATCACTGCACTCTGAACTTACTCCTAACCGCTACACTCTGAATGTTATTTACTCTTGACCCCTGTGCACTGTGCATTGCACACACTTGACCCTCCCACTCTGTATGCTGCGTATTCCTGGCTCTTGCATTTTGCAATACATACTCCTGGCACCTGCACTCATTATGCAATCCTGACCCCTGCACTCTGTACATTACAAAATCTTGATGGATGCACTCTGTATGTTACACACTTCTGACCAATGCAGTCTGAATGTGGGTATGAGGGAGTGAGTAATACAATTGGGCGTGCACTATATAGATGACTTTGTCCCAGCACTGGTAATTGGAATAGGTGTTATAACTTGTTGAAAGTCTTCCTGAGACTCAGCTGGCATTTATCTGCTGGGCCCATAAACATGAGGCCCCCTGAGTGTTTACTTAAAAATTCAGCGTGTTATTTATGTAAGCATTCATCACATACACAATACACTTTGCACTATAACTTAATGCTATATATTTTCCATTCCTACTTATTTTATACTCTTTACCCGTTATCATTTCTTACAGAACAATTTTAATTGGTTGTATTTAGTTTATCTATGCTGACTTTATTTAATTTTTTTCATTCCAGCATGAGTACTTTAAGGAGAAATGTTCAAAATGGGAGCCGCCAAAATTGGTTACTATGCACAGCTGCTCCAGATTCTGGCTGCTCCAGTTTTGATAAATTCCACCCATTGTCTTGTGTTTTATTCAAGTTTAAAGAAGCTGGCATTAGTAGAAATGTTACTGCTTGTGATTTAGATGCCCTTGGCTTGAGGAAATGCCTGTGCTCATATCTCAAAAAGAAGTAGAAAACCCTAAGTACATATTTCCAAGCACTGAGGGAAACATTATTTGTGAATTTACAAAGATTTACATGACACAGCACGTTTCTACTCTTTAATTCTGATCACATTAGAGGAATAAACCATGCTCGAACAACCTTTGACTCTTCTGCTATTATTAGTCCCTGGAGCATCTTAATTTTGAAAATAAAAAGCTGTAAGAAATCTGCAGGATACAAAGATTACTCAGTTACAGTCAGGTCCATAAATATTGGGACATCGACACAATTCTAACATTTTTGGCTCTATACACCACCACAATGGATTTGAAATGAAACAAACAAACAAGATGTGCTTTAACTAGAGACTGTCTGCTTTAATTTGAGGGTATTTACATCCAAATTAGGTGAACGGTGTAGGAATTACAACAGTTTGCATATGTGCCTCCCACTTGTTAAGGGACCAAAAGTAATGGGACAATTGGCTTCTCAGCTGTTCCATGGCCAGGTGTGTGTTATTCCCCATTATCCCAATTACAATGAGCAGATAAAAGGTCCAGAGTTCATTTCAAGTGTGCTATTTGCATTTGGAATCTGTTGCTGTCAACTCTCAAGATGAGATCCAAAGAGCTGTCACTATCAGAGAAGCAAGCCATCATTAGGCTGAAAAAACAAAACAAACCCATCAGAGAGATAGCAAAAACATTAGGCGTGGCCAAAACAACTGTTTGGAACATTCTTAAAAAGAAGGAACGCTCAGACACACCAAAAGACCCGGAAGACCACGGAAAACAACTGTGGTGGATGACTGAAGAATTCTTTCCCTGGTGAAGAAAACACCCTTCACAACAGTTGGAAAGATCAAGAACACTCTCCAGGAGGTAGGTGTATGTGTGTCAAAGTCAACAATCAAGAGAAGACTTCACCAGAGTGAATACAGAGAGTTCACCACAAGATGTAAACCATTGATGAGCCCCAAAAACAGGAAGGACAGATTAGAGTTTGCCAAACAACATCTAAAAAAGCCTTCACAGTTCTGGAACAACATCCTATGGACAGATGAGACCAAGATCAACTTGTACCAGAGTGATGGGAAGAGAAGAGTATGGAGAAGGAAAGGAACTGCTCATGATCCTAAGCATACCACCTCATCAGTGAAGCATGGTGGTGGTAGTGTCATGGCGTGGGCATGTATGGCTGCCAATGGAACTGGTTCTCTTGTATTATTGATGATGTGACTGCTGACAAAAGCAGCAGGATGAATTCTGAAGTGTTTTGGGCAATATTATCTGCTCATATTCAGCCAAATGCTTCAGAACTCATTGGACGCCACTTCACAGTGCAGATGGACAATGACCCAAAGCATACTGCAAAAGCAGCCAAAGAGTTTTTTAAGGGAAAGAAGTGGAATGTTATGCAATGGCCAAGTCAATCACCTGCCTGAATCCGATTGAGCATGCATTTCACTTGCTGAAGACAAAACTGAAGGGAAAATTCCCCAAGAACAAGCAGGAACTGAAGACGGTTGCAGTAGAGGCCTGGCAGAGCATCACCAGGGATGAAACCCAGCATCTGGTGATGTCTATGCGTTCCAGACTTCAGGCTGTAATTGACTGCAAAGGATTTGCAACCAAGTATTAAAAAGTGAAAGATTGATTTATGATTATTATTCTGTCCCATTACTTTTGGTCCCTTAACAAGTGGGAGGCACATATGCAAACTGTTGTAATTCCTACACTGTTCACCTGATTTGGATGTAATACCCTCAAATTAAAGCTGACAGTCTGCAGTTAAAGCACATCTTGTTTGTTTTATTTCAAATCCATTGTGGTGGTGTATGGAGCCAAAAATGTTAGAATTGTGTCGATGTCCCAATATTTATGGACCTGACTGTAAGTAAGCAGCTGGGGGAGGGGGAATTTGGTTAAATCAGGGAGTCTAGGTAGAATGGGCAATCTTACTTTGAGTTGACAGTATCTGTTGGTTTTCTGTGACTATACGGCTCCACTGGTAGGATTTCTGCTCTTTAAAGCCAACCTCTAGGCAGATATACAAGACAAAAATGAATGCAAGTCTGTAATCATTAATATACAATTAAATTTATTGTTAAATGCCAGCAATGTTATACCTGAATTTGACCAGGCATCGGCCTCTTGTGGTCAATGTATACCAGGGAGTGGAAAGAATAAGAAGTAAAACATGCAGTCAATAAGTTCAACTGCTGACAAGAAGAAGCTGAAGAAAAAGCAAAAAGACAGAGACAACCCTATTACTGTTTTTTCTTTAACAAACCAGTCACAGGCTGGGGAAGATCCAGGATAACCTGGGCTAAAAGGAAGTGAGTTGAATGACACTGGTCTTCAGACTGAGGGTATTTAGTGGTATACAAAAGTACTGCAGGACAAATTTATGTATTAAAGTTGAATATTGCAACAAAAGCTAGTTTTGTTATTTTTTTATATTAATAACATTTTTATTTTACCTTTTTATTTTTTGGCAGGAGTTCTGTTTTCTTCCCAGAAAATTAAATAAGGGTCCTACCCTTCTATTGCAGTGTAAATGTATTTTTGTACTTTGTAGCAAGAAAACTTAAAACATCCCTGTTGTGGCAATGAATATTAATGAGACGAGGAGAAGGACTTGGGATTAGACCTCTGTTTAGAAGGCAAAACCAAGGTTTATTGAGACATATGAATATCTAGTTTACTTGTTTCAAAAGTATTGGGACACCCCTCCAAATCATTGGATTCAGGTGTTCCAATCACCTCTATGGCCACAGGTGTATAAAATCAAGCACCTAAGCACGCAGACTGCTTCTACAAACATTTGTGAAAGAATGTGTTGCTCTCAGGAGCTCAGTGAATTCAAGCGTGGTACAGTGAAAGGTTGCCACCTGTGCAATAAGTCCATCCGTGAAATTTCCTTGCTACTAAATATTCCACGGTCAACTGTTAGTGGTATAATAACAAAGTGGAAGCAACTGGGGAACAACAGCAACCCAGCTATTAAGTGGTAGGCCACATAAAATGACAGAGTGGGTTCAGCGCATGCTGAAGTGCACAGTGCGCAGACATTGCCAGCTGTCTGCAGAGTCAATAGGTAAAGACCTCTAAACTTCATATTACCTTCAGATTAGCACAACAACAGTGCATAGAGAGTGTCATGGAATGGGTTACCATGGCTGATCAGCTGCATCCAAGCCTTACATCACCAAGTGCAATGCAAAGCGTCGAATGCAGTGGTGTAAAGCATGTCACCACTGGACTCTGGAGCAGTGGAGACATGTTCTCTGGAGTAACTAATCACGCTTCTCTGTCTGGCAATCCAATGGACATGTCTGGGTTTGCCAGACACATCAGGCAGTAGAACGGTACTTCCCTGACATTATGCCAGGTGTAAAGTTTGGTGGAGGGGGGATTATGAAATAATGGGTCGCTCTCAGGTGCTCAGTGAATTCAAGCGTGGTACTGTGATAGGTTGCCACCTGTGCAATAAGTCCACCCATGAAATTTCCTTGCTACTAAATATTCCACGGTCAACTGTTAGTGGTATTATAACAAAGTGGAAGCAACTGGGAACAACAGCAACTCAGCCACGAAAAATAACAGAGCAGGGTCAGCGCATGGTGAAACGCACAGTGTGCAGAAGTCACCAGCTGTCTGCAGAGTTAATAGCTAAAGACCTCCAAACTTTGTGTTACTTTCAGATTAGCACAACAACAGTGCGCAGAGAACTTCATGGAATTGGTTTCTATGGCCGAGCAGCTGAATCCAAGCCTTACATCACCAAGTGCAATGCAAAGCGCCGGATGCACTGGACTCTAGAGCAGTGGAGATGTGTTCTCTGGAGTGACGAGTCATGCTTCTCTGTCTGGCAAGCCATGGATGTGTCTGGGTTTGCCAGACACGTCTGGCAGGAGAACGGTACTTGCCTGACATTGTGCCAGGTGTAAAGTTTGGTGGAGGGGGGATTATGGTATGGAGTTGTTTTTCAGGGGTTGGGCTTTGCCCCTTAATTCCAGTGAAGAGAATTCTTAAGGTGCCAGCATACCAAAATATTTTGGACAATTTCATGCTCCCAACTTTGTGGGAACAGTTTGGGGATGGTCCCTTCCTGTTCCAACATGACTGCGCACCAGGTCCATAAAGACATGGATGAGCGAGTTTGGGGTGGAGGAACTTGACTGGCCTGTACAAAGTCCTGACCTCAACCCGATAGAACACTTTTGGGATGAATTAGAGCAGAGACTGAGAGCCGGGCCTTCTCGTCCAACATCAGTGCCTGACCTCACAAATGTGCTTTTGGAAGAATAGTGAAACATTCCCATAGATACACTCCTAAACCTTGTGGACAGCCTTCCCAGAAGAGTTGAAGCTGTTATAGCTGCAAAGGTGGGCCAATTCAATATTGAACCCTACAGACTAATGCAGGCCATAGATGGGGAGAAAAAAAAATGAAAATTCGGTCGTTCAAGCGGCCAGCGTTACCATCAATGGTAAAAAAAATCGGCCGATTTTCATCCCTTCTACAGCTGGCAAAAAGTGTCCCTGCAGAGAGCTCCGCTATTTCTGACAGTTCTCTGACAGTTCCTTCACATTTACAGCGGTTGAAACATTGTATCTATTTGTTTCCATTTAGGATACAGATGTTTTTATTCGGAAACAAATAGATACAATGTTTCAACCGCTGTAAATGTCAAAGAACTGTCAGAGAACTGTCAGAAATAGCGGAGCTCTCTGCAGAGATACTTTTTGCTGGACTGGAATTCTTCTTATTTTCATCCTACTTCTTCTTCTTCTTCTTCATCCTCATCCTCTTCTTCTTCATCATCCTCATCCTCTTCTTCTTCTTCTTCTTCTTCTTCTTCTTCATCCTCATCCTCTTCTTCTTCATCATCCTCATCCTCTTCTTCTTCTTCTTTCATCCTCATCCTCTTCTTCATCTTCTTCTTCATCCTCATCCTCTTCTTCTTCTTCTTCATCTTCATCTTCTTCTTCATCTTCTTCTTCATCTTCTTCTTCATCCTCATCCTCTTCTCTTCTTCTTCTTCTTCTTCATCTTCTTCTTCATCCTCATCCTCTTCTTCTTCTTCTTCTTCTTCTTCTTCTTCATCATCCTCATCCTCTTCTTCTTCTTCTTCTTCTTCCTCATCCTCTTCTTCTTCCTCATCCTCTTCTTCTTCCTCGTCCTCTTCTTCTTCTTCTTCTTCATCCTCTTCTTCATCCTCATCCTCTTCTTCATCCTCATCCTCTTCTTCATCCTCATCCTCTTCTTCTTCTTCATCCTCATCCTCTTCTTCTTCTTCTTCATCCTCATCCTCTTCTTCATCCTCATCCTCTTCTTCCTCATCTTCTTCTTCATCCTCATCTTCTTCTTCTCTTCTTCGTCCTCTCTTTTTCATCCTCTTCTTCATCCTCTTCCTCTTCTTCTTTTTCTTCTTTTGTCTTCCTCTTGCAGGTCACTGCTCATCGCAGATTTTTTATCGGTAAAAAATCGGCCGATTGGCCCATTAATGCCGCGAAAATCGGCCGATCGGCCGATTTTTTTCCAACTTTACCAGAAAAAAAAAAAACGGCCCAAATCCCGAAAAACGGCTGACCAAATCGCCCACTAACGATCCGAAAATCGGCCGATTTTATTTTCGGCCGACAAATCGGCCGATTTTCGACCCATCTATGGCCTGCATAAGGCTAGGTTGCCATTATAGTTCATGTTCATTTTCAGAAGGAGAAGTTAGCAATTGCAGATTCCAGTGCACTCAGCACAGGTTTCCTTAACCACTTGCCTACCAGGCATGTCCAGGGACCTGTCATTATCTGCCTTAAAAGGGGACCCCGGATGGTGATATGCCTGAGATGCGCTTATGAAATTTGAAGCACATACCCAAGGGACGATCTGGAAGGTGTAGGATTCTATCTCTATCTTGGCAACGGATGATCGTTTTCTGATATTACAGGATAAAAACCCACATGCGTTTTTTTGACGCACTTCTGGTGAGTGCGTAATTCTTACCTCAGAGTCACCGTGTGCTGCACAGAATCTTATCCCACGCACCTATTAGGATCGTTTGGATCCCCACTTCTGATTTATTTTAAGACTATTATTCATCTCATCTAACTTCACCGCAGTGTGATTTGATATTGGCACTTTTGTGTTTTATATGTTATTATAGCGCTGCACCTTATATATGGTCTTCATATATATATGTGTTTATGTATTTTATTTGAAGGTTTTCTCTTGGTTACCTTTTGGTGTTCTAGCTGCTTTCAGATTTCCGGATAGCGCTCGCTTTTATTTAATTATTATTATTATTATTTATAGTTCATGTGTTTGTAAAGGCAGGCATCTCAATACTTTTGGCAATGTAGTGTATGTAGCACTACCCTGCTCCCTGTAGGGGAGTAAAAATGAAGAAACAGTATAACACAGTAGTGCAATGGACACAGCACACTGATAAAGCAGTATGGTAGGCATGCACAGCAGTCTACCATACTGTATACCAGAGCTTAAAATTTCAACTCCTGAGCTACTAGCCAGGCCTTAAGAGTTACTCGCCACCAGTTGCCCCACCCATCCCTACCCTGCTACACCCCTAATTCCACCCCTAAACATGCGCTCGTAAATTATTTCATGAAATGACACTGTTAAATGTTACCCACATTACATCAGGGTCCCCAGAGTCCTCTCACATTACGTGAGGGCCTCCAATGTCCCCCTAAACACTCCATCATACTTAGACCATGTACCGCATACAACCATAACCTCCCATAATCTTTCACTCACAAAACTATAACTCTATCAAGCGTATCCTTCCTACTATCCAACCCAGCAATACCTCAAATGCCCCATACTCTACCACCCATAATAACCACATAATCCTGAACCTAACCACCCATACATGTAGGTTTACATACAGACACATGTACATACACACATATAAACAGACACCTGTACACACACACAGACATGTACACACACACAGAAACATGTATGCACAGAGACACATGTACACACACGCACAGAGACACATGTACACACACACATACATGTATATACACACAGACACATGTACATACACAGAAATACACATGCACAGACACATGTACAAACACAGACACATGTACATACATACACAGACATGTACATACACACAGACACATGACCATACACACAAACACACACGTACATGCACACACACATGTACACGCACACAGACACATGTACACACACACATACATGTACATACATGCAGACACATGTGAAGATACACACATGTACATAGACACACACACACAGATACACGTACACACACACACACACACACACACAAAAATACACACACATACATAAAAAATTTGCAGTACAGTACATCGTTACCTTCACTCACAGGCCGGGTACTGCACTCTAGGGGGAGGTAGAGAGCACAGCACACACTCCTTCCTTCTGAGTTCTGAGCCTGCTCAGCAAGATGGCCCTGGGGACACACTCACCCCCATCATAATTTCCATAGTATGGTACCATACTGGGTGGCCTAACTAAAAATAAAAAAAACTCTTGCTAAACCACTGACCAGTGAACTCTAAGTTCAATTAGCCAGCATTGGGGCCTTGGATTTCCTGTTGGAGTGCTCACTTCAAACTGGGAGTATTTGTGATCCCAAGTAAAAGGGTCAGTAGTTCAAAGCTGGCTCTCCACTGGCAACCGTGCTAGATATCAATAACTAGAAGAAATGTCCAGAAGGCCTTTCACCATTCCAGATGGTTCCTAACATCCTTAGCAGCAGTAAATCTCTCTCTCTGCCTGAGTCTTCAGCTGCAGCACTGCACAGGATTTATAGTAGCTCCGTCTCTGGTAGGCACAGCACAGCACTCTCCTCTACAGTCATTGGCAGGTGCAGTATGGCAGCTCTTCTTGCAGCAGGACAGGAACAGCAACACAGTCTCTGATGGCCACAGGACAGCAACAACTGTAACTGTAGATCCCAGTAGCAGCTCTCTATTGACAGATATAGTCCTCTTCTCTCCTGCTGTCCAGTACAACACACAGTAGCATAATCTCTCCTGCTGTTCTGGCTCCCCTGATGCCAGTTAGAATGCTCCTCTGTCATTGCTAGAAATGAGTATACCCCTAGGCTGTGGTGGCAGCAAATTAGAGTTTTTATTTTCAGAGTTAGTCTGCCTGCTACTCAGTCTGTGTTGAGGACACTTTCACCACTCTGTACACCAATAGCAGGGAGGGAGGAAAGAGCAGCAGCCAAGTGTGAATAAATATGACCACCTATGGCAGTTTTTTTTTTTTTAGCACTATGGTGTGAAGATACTATTTTACTGCATGACACATGTAATAAAAGTAGAGCACAAATACCTCCCAGATGCTTCCACTTTTCAGTTATTGGAATTTCAGAAGTGTCTGGTGTTAATAGTCTATGATTCTGCTAAAATAGTTAACACAGCTATCTGCTGACAGGCATCAAAAAAGCCTGTTATGTACTTGCTAAACATGTCTCAAAGTCACAAATGCATGTTGGTGCATGAACTGGTCCTTTTGTATTTTCTTTAAGTAGCTATACTGTAGAGGACACACAATTTATAATACAACAGATGGTACGACAGGAAATCACAGTCAGGGTTTTCCTAGATTTTTATCTAGGGATAGCTTACAAATATCCTGGAGGCTTTCATTGGTGTTGTATTTCATTTCCACCTATCTGGGTAACCCTAATTGAGTTATATAGACAGCTATAACTGAGATTAGTACATCAGGAGTACACCTTCTTTC